TATATAAGCAATATGTTAAGAAGCATAATAGAATAGTTTCCAAGTTACTAGGGCCATCTGCCAAACATACTTTATCTGAACTTCCGAAAGTTGTTGTTGTTCGGCTAGACATGAATACAGGACACGGGAACCGTTTACCCGGAATAGTTTGTGGCTTTTTATATTCACTAATTACTGATAGGCTATTTTTTATTGATGGTTATGATAATTTCGAAAGTTATTATGAAAAAGATTTCGAACATGACTGGAAAATTGTTACAAACTTGTATAAAAATAGTACCTCTAGATATATACATTCTCTTAATTCATATAACGACTTTTCGTTGGTGACGAGAGGAAACCTTAGCAACGATGAACTAAATTCGTACGATATTTTATATGTTCGTACATGGGATTACGCATGTGCTCCTATAACGTCAAATCCTTATTATAAGAATTGGTTTAATAAAGTAATACCTGATTATAGAGTTTTTACTGCAATCAGCCTAAAATTATTGAGATTACACTTAAATATTAGCAAACAAGTAGAGACTTTTGTGGACAATAATTTTAACGATTATAATATAGGAATTCATTTAAGACAAAAAGAGTCGCCAGATGATATGATAATACCCGTAGAACATTATAGTCAAGTAGTGAAAATGTTGATGTTAGGAATAAAAAACATGAACATATCTATCTTTGTGGTTGCAGATAATGATAGTCGGAAAAAATTAGTAAAATCACTTCGTGAAGTATTTAATTCAAATAATAACAATTCTATTAAAATTGTTTATACTGAACAATATATGGATTCTCCAAATCCTGTTAGTTGGAACGCTGGTCCGGAAGTACACGCTCTTATCGTTATGAAGTTGCTTAGCTTATGTGATGACTTGGTGATTACATATGGTTCTTCATTAGGTTTCACTGCAGCAGGATGGTCGCAAAAAGCGTTTCGTCAAAGAGGTCCATTTGTCATAATGCCAATAAAAAACTCGAACGATGAATTATGGGCTATAGATAAAGTTTTGGTATGGGGTGCTATATCAAGCGAACCTTGTATGTACCTTAGTAAGTTGCTGATTGACAAAGAGGACGAGGAAACCATTAGGGTTTTTAAGACCAATCCGTTATGGATGCACCATAGTCAATGCCATGGGTCTGCAAAATATTAAGTATTGATATTCTTTCCATATTTTCTGCCGAGACAAAAAAAACATATTCATTGTAAAAATTAAATCGTCTTAAATTCTAAATTCACTGCATATAAAATTCTAAATGTATTCAATATTGACTATCATAATTATTGTTCCATTTGTTCATATGCGCCTATTTGGGTTGACCCCCGAAATTAGCCAATCATATAAATTTTTTCGTTTAAAAATTATTACAAAGCGAATTTTCATAAAAAATGGGTTTGAACCAATAAATTAAGTATATAGGATATTACAATATATACACGTTTAAGTTGACAGAATCATAGGCTTTCTCATGTCTTGGAACAGGAGCCAGAGTCCTTTTGAGTTGCAACATACCTCTTCGATTATGTTATTAAGTATGTGTATAGGGGTTGAGGTACTATTGCCTGCCCTGTAAAAAATGCATTCCAGAATATTTCCGTTATCTTTTTATAATTCTGATCGTGACTCCGTAAAAGTTCCGTGCATGTTTTAAACGTGGTGATCAAGAAATTGGTTAATCAGTGTTTTTTCAGTGTTTTTTTTCGTAATGCATAAAACAGTTATAGAACCGAATAATATAAGAATATATAGAATTAGTAATATGGAATTAAAATGGAATATTTACGGAATTAAAATAGAACGCTAAATCTTTTGTACTGTACATATATACTTATTATTACGTTTTATAGTTAGACATCATATTTGTAAACGTGCTTTTTCTAACAAGTGCTTTTACAGATTCATTAATTACCAAATCAGGGTTTTGACATATAGCTACGTATAACGATAAAGATTACTTAGGCCACACAAATTTAATTTATTGATTTTCATGACATGAAATTTTTAAACAGACCCGGCCGGCCGGCTTTTTTTTTAAATTTCATATATAAAAATTTTATAAAATTTTTATAAATTTTTTTTTAAAAACCCACCCGGTTATTAAAACATATAAAAAATTTTTTTACAAGTTTTCGAATTTCGACCCGGCCGGGTTATGAAAATCAATTAATTTTGCATGGCCTTATTTTGAATTATTTTAATTTTATATCCTGATTTTTTCAAGATCTTACATTATATAATAAAATATCTATCGAAATTTAACCCGATTTTCTTGATCAATAATGTAAACCTCATTATTAGACAATCTAAAAAATCCAACATTCCTACAAATTGCGCTAGTAGTAATTACTTTGAATGCGCCAAGATCTCGAAACTTCAATAGTCCATGTTCGGAAATTTGAGGATTTCGCACCCATTGCACATATGCTAGCATAGACCAGTAATTATTATATTGATGTGAAAAAAAATATTGCACTTCTCCAAAGAATTCCTTTTCTTCTAAAATAACCAGTGCATTTCGATGATGAGCGTTTCGATCAACCATGAGCTTTGCCTAAAAGAGCTAAGATACATTAAAAATATATAGTGAATTGTTTAATAAAAAAACAACCTACATACAGCAATACAATAATTTATGTATGCTAAATCTCCCTTTCGATTCGATAGCTTTGAGTTAACAAAAAGCTCATTTTATATTTGAAGTTTTCTGTACTTCTTGATAGAACTTGTAACAGACTTTAAATAATATAAATTAGTAAATAAAAAAATCTATAAAATAAATAAAAAATAAAAGTAAATTAAATCATGCCAAAAGCTGGTTCATGCATATCTCTAACACTGTTATATAATAAGCCTTGAGACATTGTAATTCAACTTTATTTATGCAGTATTCACACAATGGAGAATATAGTTTTTCTTGTCTATTATCAGTAAAAAAACACGGTTTTCAGAATAATCTATGATTTTCAAGTTTGAATCAAAAAGCTTTTGATTTATTTCAGTTTTATATTGAAGGTATGAAAAACGAATCCATGTAGTA